GGAAGACCTTTCTCTCTGTCACTGTCTCTCTCTCTCTCTCTCACTGTCCACTCTGCCTGTCAAAAAAGAGAGAGAGAGAGAGAGAGAGAGAGAGAGAGGAGGGGAGACAAAGGGAAGGAGAGTGACCGCTGCCCAGAGGAGGGGCAGGTGACAGCACAGCTCAGAGCGGCAGGGTTCCCTGTACGGGGAAGGCTGGCCTCACCCCACCTCCCTGCAGCCCCACTGTCCACCCATTCTGAATCTTAGAGCTGGGAGAAAGGAAGGAAGCCCTGCCCATCACAGATGAAGAAGCAGGCCCAGGGCTACAGTACGAGGCCCCGGGTCACTGTGGGAGCTCCTGTTGGAGCCAGGCTTGGGGCCACCACCTTGGTTTCGCCACTCACGCTGCACCTCCAGCTCTCCTCCGAAGAACACAGCGGGACTCGGCAGCCGGACAGAAGCTGTGCTTGGGAAGTGCGTTCATGGCCAGAGGATGCTGACAGGGGTGGAGCGCTGGCCTGAAAACCCTCAGCACGGGGTCCCTTGCTCTAGCTCAGCAGCTCCTGCGGGATGCTGCCCCCGGGGAGGGGCTGGCGTGGGCAGAAGGGCAGAGCTCCAGTCTCTCACTGTTGCACACATGAAGTTGAGCTCCTGTTCCCCGTCACTGGGTGGGGATGGGAAGAAACCATCAGCTCACAGCCTCCTCCCCCTCCATCTGATGCAGCAAGTCCTCCGGAAGAAGAGGGCAGGACTGGCAAATGGTGGGACCAAACCCCCACTATGGCCCCGACAGGCCTGATTCCTGGTGACGGGGTGATGTGCACTCTGGGCTCGGAAATACCTTGAAGAGCAAGTTTTCAGGGATGCAGAGATGGCCAGGGCCCTGCGCCAAGGAGCTGTCAGAGAACCGTCTCTTCTCTGGCTGGAAGAGATGGGAAAGGCAGGAGGCTGTTCCCTTGGGGACTGGGGTAGGCCTACGGACTGCCTCAGTTGGCCTCTCCCCCGCCCCTGCAGTCCTGGGGAGCTGGGATAGAGCCAGGTGGGAGAGCAGGTGCCTCTTTTCCAGCAGGGGCCACGAGGTGGGGGTGGGGGCAGTAATGGGGGCAGAGCTGCTAATGCCCGCTTCTGGGAGCTGCTCACCCCTGCGAGCAGCAGATCACCTTCTACAGGTGCCCGGGACTGGCAGGGGTGGATGGAAGTGCTCCGTCCCCTCTCCGGTCTCAGAAAGCTGCGGGGACCCTGGGCAGGGGAGGAAGGGAACAGGAGAGCTCTGACAAGGTCTCCAGAGCTATTTTGAGAGGAGTTCGTCCTAAGCAGCAGGAGCCTGGCAGGCGGCCGCCTCCCCCTGCCTCCCCTATTGCCCTTGCTGCCGCCTCCCTCTCCCTCCTCCTCCCCCATAAACGCTCGCGCTCCTGTCAGGGCACTGCAGGTAAAGGAGGGAGCTCAGTGCAGCAGGACTCAGGCTCAGCTGTCCGGAGGACACTGGGCTCTGCAGGGAGTCCCCCAGCCCTCCCCCCAGCTCCCCTCAGACCAACACCTCCGCCCTTCACCTTCGCTGAGCCACCCTCTTGTTGTAGCTGTGAGATTCTCTGATTCTCCACATGCACAACTCAAAACGCCCACAAATCCTCCTGCTGCTGCTGCCTCGGGTTGGGGTTGGGAGGAGGCTACCAGGGACCCCCTTTCGGCACCCTCCTGCAGTACACTGAGGTCTGTTTGCTGCCCTCCCCTACTCACCCACCCCACAGCTCAGAGCGCCGGCGCGCCCAGCCTAATTCTCAGCAGCACTGACTTTGGGCTGCACGGAAGGAGTTAACCTGCAGGCGTGCACCGAAGGACCTGCAGGCCAGCACGTGGCTGTTGTAGCAGTAGCAGGAACCAGCCCCGCCGCCACAGCCTTCTGGCTCCCAGCGCCCATGTGCAGTGAGCGAGCTGGGGGAAAGAGAAGTCTTTCTGAACCCTCCTCCCAGGGACGGCTTCCCACCCATCTCCACTTTCCAAGGGCTCCGGGTGCAGGCAGGTAGCCAGCCTCCTCCCCCGGCTCTGCCTTCCTCTCTGTTTTCTATGGGGCTCTATCCAAACATCCTTTTCTCAGGCCAAGGGGGATGGGGAGCCCCAGACAGATGAGCTCATTGGAAGGAGGAGGGCAGAGGGAGGAGGGAGCTGCAGCATCCTGACCAGAGAGGCTCAGCGACTGTCCCAAGCTGGAGAGGGCGTGTGCCCCCTTCCGGGACCCGGCCTGTGCCTCCCTTGTGGCAGCTCAGAGACGGGGTGAGTCCCGGGCATCTCTTTATTCCTGGCCACATCGGGGTGGGATTTGAAGCACCCCAGGGAAGGGTCTCAGGCACCTTACCCAGACCCCCTGCCCCGAGCTGTGTTGACCTCTCTGCTTTAGGGGTCACACAGGTCCCCTGCCCTGCTATCCAGGGAGGACCGGGGCTGGGGGCTGGAGGCACCGGGCAGGTTTGTCATCGGTCGCAGCCTGCTGCCTGTGGGGCTGCCTTGTCAGCTGGACAGCCAGCTGTCCTCCAGGACCCTGGTGCTGACCCTGAGATGGTCAGCTGAGACAGAATGGCCAAACCAGAAGCGCAAAATGGCGTGGAGCCCCAGGCAGCCTCCCCAAGGGTTGTGGTCTCAGCCCTTAGGAGCGTTTCAGTGTGGGTGCTGCCAAACGAGGGGGCCGGGCGTGGACAGCAGAGGAGGTGCGGGGGCAGAGGCACATCTTCCTGGGGGCAGGGGGGCGTCAGGAAGTGGCTGGGTGAGGAGGAGGGCTAGGAGCAGGGAGGAAACCGGCCAGCAGGTGCAGCAGGGGATTCGCAGGCCTGCAGGGAGGAGGAAGAGTGAAGAGGAGCCGGAGAGCAGAAGGGGGCAGCAGAGGGGGCAGCACAGGGCCCTGGGGTCAAGGGCCAGGCAGTGCCAGGGTGGGCTGTGAGGAGTGCACCAGGAGAGCTTCACTCTCTGCCCCCAGACTCTTTGCACTCTTATGTGGGGGTCCGTGGTCATTCTGAGGCTGGCTCCAAGTCACCCTTCCCCACACACCCCTAGATCTGGGCTGCAGGGAGCCAGCACACGGACATTTCTCAAGCTTTGGCCTCAGGCGGCTCTGGCTTGGAATCCGGCGCTGCCATTTCGCAGTCCAGTGGCCTTCTTTGTGCGTGAGTGCAGCACGGCCTGGGGATCCTTAGCTGAACAGGACGCACCTCCGGGGGCCGCCCTGAGGATGGAGGAAGCTCACAGAGGCAGAGCAGCCCACGAGGGGCCGGCACACAAACGTAAACAGTGTGGCTGTGGCCTACCAGCCTTGTCAGGACACGAAAACCGCCGCCCCCACACCCGCCCACCTGGTCCAGGAGGACAGCTCCAGGGAGGCGCCCTAAGCACAGGCGTGTGCTATGGAGCCGGGATGTGGCACAGCTGGGAGGGCTCAGGGAGGAGGAGGCCGACAGGACTTTTGTGTTTGGCAGGAGGGCGAGGAGGGCAAGTGAGGGGAGAAGTTGATCTTTGGGGAGAAGTTCCCGAGGCAACCTGGCTTCAAATTTCCCGTCCTCTCCCTGCATGCACACCGGGGCTTACCAACACACCTCACCCCACCCCCAGTGACACGTCACGTGAGAGGAATTAGGTGAAGGGGGTGCCGAGGTGACCTGGAGCCGGCTGCGGCTGAGTGAGGTGGTTGAGGGCCAGGGCTGGTCGTGGCGTGCACCGTGTTTACCTCCAGGCACGAGAGAGTGAATCCCACTTCCATCATTGGAGCCCTGAATTGAGGGCTGCAGAGAGCCATGGGCAGTAGCCATAAAGGCCGCCTAGAACCACAGCCCCAAGCTGTGTTTGAATACCTTCTGAGACGGGGATCTCATTACCTCAAGAAACCCAACACTCCGTATAGCTCTGACCTACACGGGATGGGTATCTGCCCCTGCCCACCAGTCCTAATGTTTGGCTACGGGACGGAATGGGACAAGTCTACTCCCTGTCCCCCCATGGCCGCAAGCGGCCACTGCTCCGGCCAACAGCTGTGACGCACGCACACTTCCCCTCCTGGCTGGACTCACCGTCTCCTCCCCTTTGTCCACAGGAGGGGCCCTCGGGCTGTTGGGGCCAGCAGTTGCCCGTCCCTTGGCCACCTGCTTACAGGCACTGTGTCCCAGCTGAGAAGCAAAGGCAGCTGTGGTTGGGATAAAGGTGACTTTGCCTTCCAAGTCGCCCAGCTGAGCGTTTGCTGTCTGCCTGCACCCTGGACTCTCAAGGTCATTACTGCCAGAACAAAGGAAATGCAGCTGTACCAGACCACCTGCTCCGCCACCCCGACTCCCAATCCATCTGTCCCCACCACCTCCCCTCCCCCGAGACCTTTCTCCTGTTCTGTCCCGAGGCCCCTTCAGTACTGCAGGGGAATCCCATAACTGGACCCCCTGACCTCCCAACCCAGCCCATGTGCCATGTCGCAATCCCAGCATATGGTTCCCCAGCTGGGCCCTTATCTGCTGGGAGCCTGACCTGAGCGGTGGTTGGCACTCTGGCTGTCAGCATGGTGGCAGGAACCCAGGAGAGCCAGGAGCCTGGTGGGCCTCAGGGGGAGGGTCTAGGAAGGCGGGGAGAGAGGGGGACATATGCCCAGGGCTCTCCGAGAGGAGTTCCTGCAGGTCCCTCCAGCGTGCACTGTAGCACCAGCGTGCCAGTGGGGGAGGCCAGGAGACCTGGTAGGGGCTCATCCTCCTGCTCTGTGTGCTGCTGCCCAGCCTGCCCTGCCCCGGGCTCCCGTCACCTGGAGTAGTTGGATACTACCTCCTATGTTTGCACGGGCTGGAGACAAGTGGCCTAAGAGAGCCCATATACAAACTAGCAAGGACAAGTCATGCTCCCAGTGTGTAACCGGGGCTAAAGGACAGGAGTCATCTCAGGTCAGCCTGGGGACGGCCTTCACCTGGGGAGAGACTGGGGCTGCAGCTGCGGCTCCCTCTCTGGCCGCCGGCGAGACTTTGGGTGGATCACTTTTCCTCTTTAGCTGAGCCCTGTGGAAGTGTGAGTGCCTTTCCAGACCAGCCCGGCTGCAGAGGGGCAGGGAGCCGGGGCTGCTGTGTGCTACTGGGCCCTGCGGTAGGTGTGGGCTGTGGGAAGGAGGCAGAGCTGGCCCCTGATGAGACGCTGTGTGTGCTGGGCTCAGCAGGTGGCTGAGTCTCCTCTGGGGGCTCTCAGTTCCTCCTTCAGGGCAGTGACGCTCTTGGCCAGCTGTCCCTTGGGGCCTCCCACCCCTGATGTTTAAAGGTCTGCTCTCTCGTCCCCCTGCTTATGGCCCAGACCCCGTTCCTGGCAGTGGGTGGCCCTGGGTGGCCCATCGGGATGGGGAGGAACAGTGGGAACTGCTCTTGTCCAGGTACCTCCGCCTCAACTCAGGGGCGCAGGTAACTGATGACCAGCTCTGAGTCCCAGGGTGGGAGCTGGTTCTGAGCCCACAAGGCAGCTCACTGTGCATTCCAAGTGACCCCACCTGGCCCCACGCAGGCTGGGCCAAAGCCAAGTCCGCCTCCCAGAAGCCAGAGCTGGCGCGTGTCCTCTAAGTGTTCTTGGAGAAGAACCCAAGGAGGAAGAGGCTGCCGGCCTCGTTGAATCTCGGGGCCTGTGTCTGTCCCGGAAGGAGCCAGGCAGGACCCTGGCGCCTCCTGCAGTCCAACCCGACCCCTGCTCCATTCCCTACCTGCTAAGTCGGGGAGCAGCCTTGCCTTTCTGACATCCATCAAGAGGGCCCCGGGGCTCCAGGGCACAGGCACCCTCTTCAGCCAGAGGGGCTGTGGTTCTTGGAAACACCAGCCACTCTGTTCCATGTGGTCGCCTCCTTTCTGGCCTCTCTCAGGCAGTGGCTGTAATTCCTGCAGGTGTTAGCCCCACCGGGTCAAGATCCCCACCCCGAACCACTGCGGAGGGTCTGTGGGTCAGCAGGGAGCGGACAGAGGGAGAGACGAGCCGGCAGCAAAGTAGGAACAATTGCTCCTCAAGCATTTCCTGGGCATTCTGCAAGCTGTAGCTTTTCTTGGCTGGCAAGCCTGCTGGTCACGTGTGCGTGTGTGCGTGTGTGCATGTGGGGGGGGAGCTTGTGCACACTTGCGTGTGTGCGTGTGTGCATTGTGGGGGGGGAGCTTGTGCACACTTGCATGTGTGCGTGTGTGCATGTGTGTGGGGGAGCTTTGCACACTTGCGTGTGTGTGTGTGCATTGTGGGGGGGAGCTTGTGCACACTTGCGTGTGTGCATGTGCATGTTTGTGCGTGTACATGTGAGAGAGAGAGAGATGCAATGAGACAGAAGAACAGGAGACAGGGGGCAAAAAGACCAGGGTCGGCCTGGGACAGTGGAGCCCCCAGCCAGGGGGTGGCCTTTGGTCATGAACTTCTTAGAGCTGACTCAGCAGCACATAAATAGGACACAGCAGCACGCAGATGGGATGAGAGCAACCTGACTCCTTCCACCACTGTGAAGTGACGCGAGGGCAAGCTCCGCTCAGCTGTCCCTGTTCCTCCTGAGCTCAGAGCAGGTTAGATGTCCCTCTAACCAGGCAGTGCCGGGAAGCAGGGGCAGGAAGCATGGCCCATCCGCCCACAGAAAGAAGAGGCAGCATCCACGTAACAGTCTGGGATGCTCAGAGGTTGTCCTCATCCCAGAAATAACCAAGAGCCCGCCCCCACCCTGCAACCGCTCCACCCCCGCGTGTGTATTCCACCCTGCCTGTCCCAGGATAAAACATCTGTCAATCAGAGAGGAGCAGCGCATTCTCATCCCTGGGAGGCAAGGGCGTAGGGGTCCCCAAGGATAGAGACCTGGCCGTGTCGTTGGGGCTACCTGGGAAGGCGCACTGCAGAGACTGAATCAGGATCCTCAACCCACTCGCATCCCTGAAAAAATGCCACACTCACAGGGTGTTCTGGGGAGACGATCTGTTTATTGTAACAGACAAGCTGCCAAAGAACCCAGCCTGCTCCCAAACTCAGATCCCTCGAGCAGTCGGGTCACACAGGATCCCCGCAGCCTCCCTCCCCTCCCCAACCCCGTGCCCACCACCAGCTCCAGCGAGAACCCAGAAAGTGCATAAGTAGTTGGGTTTTCCCCTCCAAGTGCGCAAAGAGCAATAGAACATTCCATCATTTGCCTTTGGTGAATCAACTCAAAACATTGAGAAGTCATCACACCCTCCCCGCACAGTGTAACTTGGGGTGGGTGCTGTGAGATGTTTCATATTTGTATATATAATATATCTATGCCTATAGAGAGACTATTTACAGATGCATCAGCAAGCTTCAGTAAAGGAAGACATCAGCAAGAGACACAGGCTGCCTGTCCTTGAGACATAAGCAGGAAGGAAAAGTCCTCTATTCCTCACCCATCCTAACTGCACCAAGCCATTCCTATGGCCTGGGATGATCTCCATGGACTTGGTCAGTATTTGCATCCTTCTGCCTGCTTCACCTGACCTTGGAGTCCCCCCAAGGAGACTCGCAGAGAAAAAGATGGATCCAATCGGCCCCTCCTTTGTATAAATTGTGGCTAACCGTGACGAGGCCCTAGTTAGGGTCCCGAGAGCTATTGTCAAAGCCAGTTCCAAGGCACCTCAAGGCATTTCAGTCCTGAAAGATTGTGCTTTGTTCTTATAAGCTACACCCACGGGTCAGCCAGCCCGTCTCTCTTTACAGTGACCCTTCGGGGGGAAGAGGGGGTTCTGGGAGCACCGGAGAGGCAGGGGCAGTGACGAGAGCCAGCAGCCCGGGTGCACTGGTGGCAGCATGCAGCCAGAAGTGGGGCTCAAGCCCACGGTGCGGGAAGGGGCACAGCTCACTGGCTGGGACAAGCTGGCAAGCAGGGTAGCGAAAGGACCGCGGAGGCAACATCTCACCCGTGTCCCCGCCTCGACTCACAAGAGCCCTGTTTTGCTCCCTACACCGCCCCCCCGGTGGAGGCAACCCCATGAGCCCTCAGGAGGAGGGGCCGAGGTGTGAGAAGGACATACACAGGAAGGCGAGTGCCTGGGGCAGGCATGGCTCCCGGCCCACCCCGTGGCTCAGGCCCCTGAGCCCCATGGAGATGCCCATGGCTTTCCCTAGCCTCCACTTGGCTGGGGCAGATAAGGAGAAGACCTCAGGGATCCTGGGCCTTCTGATAAAGCGTTAGAGTTTCTTAGAAGGAACCTAGGGAGCCCTGCACATAATTCTTCCAAGTGTTAGGAGTCCTGGAAAAAGAAAATTGCCCACGTCAGCACAGGTCGTCACGCTTGGGACAGGAGGTGGCCAGGCAATGGCATCTGAGAGCTGCAGAAATCTATCCCCTACCCCAGATCTTGGCTGGTCTGAGGCACCCGCCGCCCACTCCTCTGCTCCCAGCTGGCTGGCTCCAAGGATGGGCAGTGTCCACCTGCTCTGGGCATCCTGGTGGCAGTGTGTTGATTGGCAGTTAGGTCCTGAGCCGAGGAACTGGACTCACCTCACCCAGCAGCTGTCTGGCAAGTTGCCCGTCACCCACTCTGTGCCACTCTGCCCGGCTTCTGTGCCCACATGCTTGTGGCATCCTCCTCCTTCCCTGACCCCAGCCCTGGCGGCAGTGGCTACTCAGGTGGAATTAGATGCACCAAAAGCAGACTCTTGGTCCCTCCCCGCTGTCCTGGCAGCCACAGCTCTGTTATGGCTTTGAGCGCGTCCCCGGCACCCAGCACTGGGCCTGGCACACAGCAGACGCTCGGTCAATGGTTGTTGGGTGGAAGTGAGCTCAGCTCAGTCTCTCACGTGCTATTGCTCTCGCTCTCTCTCCAGATGGGCCAGCTGTTGGCAGAGGCTGGGACTGGTCCCTGAGACTGTCACAGACCTGTCTCCACACCCTCTCCCCAGGCTCGTTCCCTGCCCGGACACCTAACTCCCTGAGCCAGGGCGGGGGCTGAGTGCCTGAGGGGGGCCAGGGCCCGGGAGCCCCGCACCCTTCACCTCACCTCCCTTACCCACAAGGGCCCGGAGGCCTCTGCCACAGGGAAATCTACGGCTCTGTCATGCAGGGTGGAGGCTGGGGAGCCAGAGAGGAGTGCAGGGCCCTGGGGTTGTGGCCCCTGGAGCCTCAGTTTCCCCATCTGTGATAAGAGGGACTTGCTGGCTGGTCTCTGAGAGCCTTCCAGATGGTGCTCTCTGAGTCAGCAGTTTTGCTATCTGAGTCAGCAGTTTCTGCCTGTCTCAGCTTGAACAGTTCCCTTTGGGTGGGAGTGAATGGCAGTGAGAGTCGGCTCCCTGTGGACGCCACGTTCTGCCCCACAAAGGGAGCCGTGGGGGCAGAAGAGCAGGTAACGTGGATCCGGATGGAATGGGGCAGCCACGGGCTGCGGGGGGGCACTCAGGCCTCCTGAACTCTCGCTCACCCAAACCCTCCTGAGGACAGCCAGGAAAGTCCAGCCTGCAGCCGGGGTGGGAGCTGCCCCACCACACACCCCGCCTCCTCGCGTCTGAGCCTCGGCTGCTCTAGGCCCAGGCCGGGGGTCACCTGGTCAGACACAGAGTCTGCAGCCACCTCTGCCTCCACGGAGCCATCAGCCCTTGGTCCCTCCCCAACCATGACCGCGGCCTCCCGTGGGTGGGGATCTGTGGCAGAGCACAGCCCCCCACCCCAGAGCTGTTCTTCCAGGTCTGTCCCCACCAGTGATCCCAAGGCATCCGTGGTGCAGCTGGCAGCAGAGACGAGGGCCCCGCAGAGCTCCCTTGGCCAAGGCTTGTGTCCAGGTTGGCTGCCAGCCCTGGCTTCCCTTCAGTGCCCGGCAAATGCACAGTCATCCTTTCACACGCTCCCCCCGCCCCTAAAATGATAGGAACCCGTCATCACCTCCAAACCTGACGGGGCTGTCAGGGCTGGGAGCAGCCAGAGGGGGCAGGCCCTGCAGCCCCGCCCCAGCCTCTCCTTGGGAGCCTCCTACATGCAGGTCGGAGCCCCTCTGTTGTCTCCCCAGGGCCCACACATCCCAGATGCCACGGCGGGTTTCTCCGATGGAAGAGAGGTGGTCACTCTCGGGGCAGGGTGGGGGATAGGAAGTGAGGGGTTCAGGAGGCCCCAGGTCAGCCCTGTGGCCTAGTTCACACCAAGAGAGGGCAGGCAAGGTCACACAGTACGGGGCAGAGAGTGGCAGGGGCGGGACACGGGGAGGGGCTGCAGGCCGGCCGCCTGTTACTTGGTGCCGTCGTCCGCGTTGGCCTCGCCGTCCGTCTTGGCCTCTTCCTCTGTTTTCAGGTCATCTGTGCTCAGTTTCTGCTCTTTTTTCCTCCTCACGCACTTGACGACCATCAGCACCAAGATGACCACAGCCAGGAAGCCCCCCACGGAGGCCCCCACAATCACGGCCACCGTGGAGTCCCGCTCGGGGGGCTCTGCAGGAGGACAGGAAGCAGACCCGCTGAGCACCGGGGCCGCCCCCGCCCCCAGCAGTGGGTGCAGAGGGCCCTGACTGCGCACCCCCTCCACAGCCAGGGCTGTCATCAAAGCCAAAAATCCAGCCAGGCACAGGTGTGACGGGGGGCTGTAGAAGCATGGCCTTTGAGGTCGGGCAGACCAGAACCCACGCCCGGCCTCCCTAACCTCACTTTCCTTATCTGGAAGCCAGAGAGCAAAACCTCCCTGCGCTCCTAAGGTTGCTTGTGAGGATGGAACGAGAGAATGACGCAGGGACTAACCCACGACTGAGACGGCGTGAGTGTCCAGTGAATGAGAGTGGCCATTGTTAGATCATGGTCAAGGTCACTACAAGGACACTCTGAGGCAGGCCACAGAGGGAAGAGAACGGACGCCCCTCCCCACTGTGGCGCCCCCCCCAGCTGTTCCGCCCCCCCCAGCCACCTCACCTTCCATGAGGACCCGCAGGCTGATCTTGCCATGGCCACGATGGCGGTCGGGCGGGTTCATCACGTAGCAGTTGTAGGTGCCCTCATCCTCGGGCTGCACGTTCCTGAGCATCACAGACACGTCGTACTTGCTGGGGTTGCCAGAGAACTCCACGCGGTCCCGGAACCGCTCCAGCCTCAGGTTGATGATCTTCATGCGGAACTGCAGGAACTGGGGTGGGGGCAGAGGACAAGGGGGCGCTGGACAGTCAGCCAGGAGCCCCAAGGAGAGCCCGCCCGAGCTCCTGGGAAGAGAGGAAGCTCCCTCCAGGAGGGCCACCCAGGTGTGCCCCATGCCTGGCGGCACAGCCCCCTGGAGAAACAGCACCCCCACCTCCAGCCCACCTGCAGGGCCCTCAGGGGAGTGCGTGGGGAGGCTCCCAGGACTCACCATCTCCTCAGAGCAGTTGCCACATTCCTGGTAGGTCCAGTTCAGGGAGAACTGTTTGTGGTTCACCGTGTAGCAGGAGTTGAAGGTGCAGGACAGGCGGGCGTCAGAGCCATTGAGCACGTTCAGGATGGTGGGGACCGACACCTCCATGCTCTGCCCTGGTGGCACTGCAGACAAAGCCACCAGCTGTGAAGCAGGGCCAGCTGGGTCCCCGACAGCTGCCCTTCTCAGGGGGTGGGGAGACAAGCAAAGCACTCAAGGGCAGCAGTGGTGTTGGGGGAGGGAGAGAAGTGGGTGGGACTGGTCTGTCATTTCAGAGCAACCAACAGCCGCGCTCCTTGACCGGGACCACCGTGGGGCCACCCCTCCACCTGCCCCAGTCCTGCCAGCACCACTGGCCAGCTGGGGACCACCGACGCTGTGCCTGCCTCAGTCTCCCCCTTCTCCTCCACCACTGCCACCAGCCACCTTTGCCGGGCAAAGCCCTTCCAGCCAAGGCCGCAGGCAGCCAAGGCCTTGCCCTCCACATCCCAGAGCCTGAACAAAGCAGGGGTCCCAGCCCAGCCCCCCATCCTCTCTGGGCAGATGGGCAGGACGAGGGAAGCGCCACCATCCAGGAACCAGGCACAGGAGTCCCTGTTGGAGGCGTCCGGCCCGCAGCCAGCTCAGCAAGGAGCAGGTCCAGGCTGTGGTGAGGGCAGGAAGCAGGTGGGCAGCGCAGTCTGTGGCGTCCGGGTGTCCGACTTGGGCCAGGAGACCTGAGTTCCGGGGCTGGGGGAGGCCTTGTGAGCCGGGCGGTCTGCGGTGAGGGCCTGAGGGGAGGGGGAGCCACCATTCTCAGGATGGCATAAGGGCTCCTGATGTGCGGCAGCCTTCAGCGCCTTGTCTGCCAGTGCTGAAAAACGTCCTCCCCAGGAGTCCCTGTCTACAGAGGACCGGCTCCGTGCAGCTCCGAGCACTCACCCGCTCGCCTCCCCAGTGAGTCTAGGTCCTGGGGGCACCGCTGTGAGCAGGCCAGGCAGGGTCACAGCGCCGGGCAGCGGGCAGTGAGCAGGGTGGACAGGGTCATGGCACCAGGCAGTGGGCAGTGAGCAGGCCGGGCAGGGTCATGGCGCCGGGCAGCGGGCAGTGAACAGGCTGGGCAGGGTCATGGCGCCGGGCAGCGGGCAGTGAACAGGCCGGGCAGGGTCATGGCGCTGGGCAGCGGGCAGTGAACAGGCTGGGCAGGGTCATGGCGCCGGGCAGCGGGCAGTGAGCAGGACGGGCAGGGACATGGCACCAGGCAGCGGGCAGTGGGCAGGACGGGCAGGGTCACGACCCCGGGCAGCGGGCAGTGAACAGGCCAGGCAGGGTCACGGCGCCAGGCAGCGGGCAGTGGGCAGGACAGGCAGGGTCATGGCACCAGGCAGCGGGCAGTGGGCAGGATGGGCAGGGTCATGGCACTGGGCAGCAGGCAGTGGGCAGGATGGACAGGGTCACGGCGCCGGGCAGCGGGCAGTGGGCAGGGTGGACAGGAACATGGCGCCAGGCAGCGGGCAGTGGGCAGGACGGGCAGGGTCACGGC